CTCTCTCCTTCTCATCTTCAAACAATTTCAAAACACTTAATAAAGGCTAATGAATGTTGTGCGTTACGAGCCTTAAGTACTTGGTAAATGATGATTGGGTGGTTGCCTTTCAATTGTCTAGAATGTTAGCATATGTCCTTCAGACGATATGTGACGCATTTGCTCCTAGGTCATAGTCTTTAGTGCAACATGAGTTACAAATCAAACTCAAAACACTTTTTCTCTAAAAGACTTCAAAAACAAAGATCAAACCTTTTTCATCCTTCGGGATCTTAATTGGAAAACCTTTTTCATAAAAAAGAGTGTTGTTAAGCTTTGGTTCAACCGCAAACAGGCATCGTCCCTAACTGCTAGAACGAAGGTTTAACCCTACTCGGTTAAAACATTTTGAACCAACCGATGTTCTTGTTAGCCCGAACTATGTTTGCTCTGATTTCTCATACCAGATGAGAATACGTAGGCACAAGACGTGATGTCTTGGCGAGCAACCTCCCTCACCTTTCACCTGTAGTTAGCCGAACTACGTTGACTTTGACTTTCCCATTGCACGAGGGAATACGTAGGTACAGAGCGGCGATGCTCTGCCGAGTCTCTTTTCTTTTCTTTTGTCCTTGAGACCTTTAACGTATATAGATTAAACACACCCTTAGATAGACAATAAGCATGGATCCCGTCGAGTACGACGTACGTGAGTGGTGTTCATACCTTCCCCTTGTGTAACCGACTCCCGAACCCAAGACTTGGTTGCGATGACCTCGTCTTTACCTTTTTCGTTAGGTTTTTCCGATCGTTTCCTTTCCCCCTCTTTGGGATAAATAACGAAAGGTGGTGACTCTTCTATTTTCCGCCGGGTGTTTTTCGCAGTTGCGACATCTTCCACTGATTCAATCCTCGCGGTATGGTTGAGGATTAGGAGGTTGGCTTTGTTGAGAACCTCGAGGAGGGTTGCCATGGCTGGGTCGGCATTGGGCGAAACTAGAACTGGAAGGTGCTGCGGGACAGGTGGGGCTTCGTCGTGATCTATACGAATAGGGGATGGAGAAGTTGTGGCTCCGTCTCTTTGTTGAAAGACGTTTCCGCCATGAGAGGTGGAGGCCCCTTCAGCATCAGTCTTGCTGACGGGGAGGAAAGTCGAGTTATGAGCATCAAAATTGTTGTCACAGGCAGTCATGATCAAAAAATTGAAGAACTGTTTTGGTCTTGTGTTCTTATGAAGAGAAAAAAGACGGGGATAACAAGATTCCCACAGACGGCGCCACTAATCTTACCAAACGATCAGAATTTGAGATGGGCCAATGACAAACGTCTGTGATGCTGGGTGTAAAAGAGGAGGAGGGGTGTACCTGCAAGGCACTTCGATGCTCAAGTAAAAAAAAAAGCAAGAGAGCGAGCAAGTACATAATATGTGTGTTTCAAGGTGAGAAATTGGATACATGACCCTCTCAAATGAGAGGGTTTTTATAATTCCCCCAATGTTTGGCCATTGGTCCCTATTTTCGGGACGAGATAACCGTTTCCCGAAGAATAGGTAACTGCCAGAAATAGTCGTTGGGACGGGCAGACGTGCCCACAACTAGTCGTTGGCACGGGCAGGGGCGTAGTTACGGGCACAAGCGTCTTAGCTGTTCCTAGATGGTGGAACCGTGTGTGACGGGCAGAGACTGACGGGGAAAAGTGATGTGACCAAGGGTAAATAGGTCAACCTTCCCTGTTGGAGGAGTAGAAAGGTAAACTTTCCCTCGAAGTGGTTGAACTTAGGCAATTGGGCCGTTTTGGGAGTAAAAGTGGGTTGGGCCATGCTAGCCATTGGGTCAGTCCGAAACACAAACAATATATATACAAGAAAAAAAAGAGGTAAAGTTAGACAAAGTGTACACAAGATTTATAGTGGTTCAAATCATTTGTCCTCACAAGAGCTTTATCCACTCTTCAATGGTTTCACCATTGAAATTCGTAGGTGCTTCCACTATTATGAAAAGTTAATATGAGAGTATTTTTGGTATAACAGATAATCAACTACCCTAAACACTATAAGCCAACAAATTACTTTAGCTAAACACAAGTCTGAATTAATTTTTCCTTATATTGTAGCAAAACACTAAAATTGTCAATCCTTTAGGATATTTACTTGATCTTGATCCAAAATTCTTTCTAGATCAAAAGTTCCTGATCTAAAATTTTATTCTGCAACGTCCATTACTGAGTTCTATCAGTTCCTTGTCTGAGCCTTTGTTCTACCCAAGAATGTTTGGAAACTCCTAACTTTGTTCCACAACAACATTTGATATGTTATACCAAAGTCTTTAATGGTTTATAGAGAACATTCTTTCTCTTTATTGGAAGTCAATCTCTATATACCATAGATATAAAACTATTATTAATCCTGATACACATAACAAAACTTCACAAAAAAACATTAGCTTTCCTAATGTACCTTGTATATATCACTCAGACTCGACCTTTAGAGTTAAGTATCACAACAATAGTTTCTATGTTCAAGGTTTAAAATGATAATGGTTATCTAATGAATCTTATACAACACAATCTAGATCTCACAAGAACAACATTCGAGAAATCTTTTACAAGGTTGAAACAAGAAGAATAAGTGTTTATGAAAAGAAGAACACACATGGGTTTTTCTCAAAATTTGTGAAAGTATGAACTCGATCTCTTTAGTTCATGAAAAACTTACAAAATGACTTTTTATGAATGTGTGAGAATTATGATTCATATTATTATATGATTATCTTAGAAAAACTGACAAAAATGATTTATATAGGTGCTAGAGGTTAGGCACAAAAAGTGAGAGAAAATGAACACTGAGTTGCGTCAAATCTTTGACTTTAGCATCACACTAATTAACTTGTATCTTTGATATCCATAAACTTCACCATCTTGGTTCACGTATTAACTATAACTTCTAGCGCATAGATCCACACCAACAATATATTGCCTAATAAGGCGGCAAGGGTCCATTTGTGAGGGTTCAACAATGTATTGCCTAATAAGGCATCAATGATCCCTCTCAAGGTCCATCAATGTATTTCCATATAAGGAAGTAAGGATCTCTCTGTAAGGGTCCAACAATGTATTGTCTAATAAGGTGCCAATGATCCCTCTATGAGGGTCCAATAAGACCTTTAACATATAACAAACTAATGGCACCAATATATTAAGAAAATAAGGTGCCTCTTTAAAAACTCATGCCCTTGCATGTATGGGTGGGAATGAGAATGAAGGATCTATGCTTTATAAATCCTAAGCATGTCCTACTAAAATAATCAAACCCTAAGTCTGACTAGTAGCCTATCATTGATCACATTAATCAAACCCTTATCTACATTGTCATCCCCCTTAATATAACATTCGACTTGTGCCATGATTTCACTTATGGAGATGGAGGTCTTATGGCAAGAGACTCATTGGAATGTTTGGCTCTTAAACCATTTTAGAATGCTCTCACAAACACTTTATAGTTTGGATGTACACTTTGATGGTCGCCTCCTTGAAATGGGATAGGTACTCCCTCACAGACTCGGAGTGTCCATGGCGGACACTAAACAAGCCAGTGGTAGAAACCTTTTTTTGCTTACTCGTCGAGAACTCATGGACCAGTTTCATCTAGAAGTCTTGATATTTAGTTACAATAAGTCAGAGAAGGTTCATGAACTACCTCAGGGACGCCTCCTTGAAAATGCTTGATAAGAGTTTGCACTTCAAAGATCCATAGGTGCCTATGATTACCATATAAGTATTGATGGCGACAATGTGTTCTCGGAGGCCACTCTTTCCATCAAAATTCACCAATGATGGTAGTTTGAAGTTTTCTGATACCAGTGTGCCATAAATCTCGTCTGAAAGAGGCTAGGGGTCAAGAACTCATCTTCAACATGGAAATATTCATGATATCGCTCTTGAAGGGTCAAAATGTTCGACTCCAAAGATTGGTTGAAACAACTCAACTATTCCATAATAGCTCGCATTTATCATAAGGGCTCATTGTCATCGTAGTCAATGTCGCTAGTTGTGGTGGCACCTCTTCTATCACATATTGTTAAGATGGACGTATAATGGACGTGTATTTGAGTCGAGCGACCCAAGCTATAATTGGGAGACTCAAGGTCGCGCCCACTCAATTCTTCCAACGACCCTTTCACAACTCCGTTGGGTTGCTTTGATCTTGGGATGCTCCTCTCAAGGTCCAAAAAAATCATCTCAATCTAAGAGTATATACTATGTTTTTCATCAATGTGGAATATAACAAATTTCAGACAAAAAAAAATTGTCTAGCGCAAAACATGTTTTGTTTACTTGATATATGTGGTACATTTCACAAACGTTCATCAATCAGTTTTTTATTTTTTTTTATACCGAGTATTGGTAAAAATTTCGAGGATTTGAGAATAATTTTAAAAAAATATAAACTTTTAAAATGTAAATCATAATGAAAAAATTAAAAAAAAAAATCAATTACTATTTATTATCGTTATAGAAAATTTTATACAATTTATTCAACACCATCATCCATTTATATTATTTTATAGATAGTTAAAATTGAAATCTTTGTAAATTCATTTCAATTATATACAAAATTAATTTATCGAGAGAATACATGAGTGTAAGGGGCAGGTGGATATTTAATATAAAAAATAAAATAAAATAAATATAAAAAAACCACGGAAAACCCATTGTTTTTTAAAAACCAAATCCCATTAGTTATTATATCAACAATGACTCGATAACAGGTTGGAATCTCAATCCTTTGCGTCGTTTACTTTGCGTATTTCCCTTCCCCGTTCTCCTGCTTTGCCTACTGTAACAAACAACAACGTTAACAAAAAACCAACTCTGTTTTTCCACAAACCTTACCATGACGGAATCAACAAAATCTCCCTCAGGTATTAATACTACAATCACTTTCTTACGTATTTTCTACCATTCATTGCTTGATTTCGATTTTCAATGTCCTGAATATATTGTATGCCCCTTTTTATTCCAGCATGTTTACTATTGTGTGTGTTGAAGTTATGGAAATTTTGTTAATATTTTCTATGCATTTGGTTAAAGAAGCAAAAGGACCCAATTTGGTTGAAAGAGCAAAGGAAGAATTTGAGGCTATATTGCATTCTCACAAGTCTTCAAGCCATCATCGTAGGGAAACTCATGGATTGAATAGTGATATTGACGAGAATACCTTGGTTGATGATGTTAAGGCTCCAAATGTGTTTGAAAGAGCCAAGGAGGAGTTTCAAGCCATTGCTCAAGTGTTCCATCACAATAATGAGAAAGCTTCAACTCATGATATAAGGTTGAAATCATAACTTTCTTACATGAAAAATTGTTTGTTGAAAGTAGATGGTTCTGTTGACATAATCTGATTTTTACATTTTTTTTTATCGCGTAGGAATGGAAATCAAAAGGTGGAAACAAACCATAAACAAGAAATCTCAAGTTCTTCATCAGGTATATATCTTACTTTGTAAGAGTGCTTTTTTTTCTTGGTCATTTTGAGATTGTGTCCATAATAACATTGGATACTGATTAGATGCTTGTACATCATGTAGTTAGTGATTTTAACTGTCCGATCCGCAATAATGCCCGACATATGATGCTGTTATATTGGCATATGGCGCCACCATTCTTTACGTATTTGGGCATGCCAGAGGGCTTAAAACCTGCACCCGCCATGGCCAATATTTGACAACATTACTTATCAATTTGTGTGTCTAAATCTAAATTGCCTAGAAATAGTTTAAATTTTAAACGATTTTGGGATGAACATTTTGTAGACGAACCTTACCTTCTACGATCCATTCGACACATGCAATTTGTTTTTTTATGGATGTCTCTGTTAAGAGTCTCACATCGAATAATATTTGACCTAGACATGTATTTATGAGTGGGCTAGGGGTGTGCATGGATTATAAACCAAACCAAACCAAACCACATATATAGTTTGGTTTGGATCTTATAATCATTTATATAAAACCGCACTTTACAAGTGGATTGGTTCGGTTTCAAACCGGTTTTTTAAGTAAAAACAGTTTTTTTAAAAACCAGTTTTAAACCGATTTCTCTCAAAACCAGTTTTTTTTTTTTTTAAAAAAATCAGTTTTAAAATCAATTTTTTTCATACTTAAAGTGATTTTTTTAGTTTCAATTTGTAAAACCAGTTTCTAAAAAAAGAAAGTGAAAAGTCTAAAGCAGAAAACAAGTAAGACTAGAGCTTGCGCCATCTATTGCTTTTTTCATACTTGAAGTGCTTTTTTTAGTTTCAATTTGTTAGGATCTTTCATTGAGTCGCCATAACTAATAAAGTAGCAATCCTGATGAGGAAAAAGAAGTTTTGCATAAAACATGAAAAAGCTTGTTGAAGAACTTAAACAAAAATAAGTTGAAAACAGATTATAAACATGTCTGATGAGTAACTTATGCCAGTGAATAATCTGAAATAAGTTAATCCAAACATTCTCAAGTCATTACAGTAGCTAACCTTCTAATAAAATATCAATTTGTCTAGAAATTCAATACAATCCATTTTCAAGTCAAATAGGTATCAGCTATTTGTTTTGCCATGTTAGCTTGCTACTTTAACATAATTAATAAAATATAACTGTCCCTAAACAGACACTTAGAAACATAATTGCTACTAAATGAAAAGTCTTAACAATTTCTTCACATTCTTTGTATACAACCATTATGTTTAGTTTGTATAAAACTTAGAACTTAGAACTTACAACCATTTTGATTTAGAGAATTAAGATACAAATGAGATTAAGGTTTGAAATTTAAAGAATGATGAAGAAGAAAGAGATGAATAAAATTTGGATTTTGCGGATTAGGGTTTCTGAAATTTGGGTTGATCTTGATTTTCCCAAACTATTTTACTTTTGTTTTTGAAGCTTATTGAAAAATGGTTACCGAATCTCAATCCGGTTTGAAACAAATGGTTACCGTTTTTTTTTTTAATTTGATAAATGGGCCACCAAATTTAAAATATAAATTTGGATTGGATTTTAAAATTTGGATTAATTTGGATAGGAATTTGGTTTATGGTTATTGGTTATTTTGAGTGGGGGTAATCTTCTTCCTACAAGCCGGATTTGTAAGGTTAGGTTAAACTCAACACATAAATTCTAAGATGATATCAAAGTCAGGTTTAAGATTCATTGGGCCACCCACCATTTATGTCTACACTCTAAATGTCCAATCTTCAGCGTGATAGAGTGTGTTAAGAGCCCCACATCAGATAATATATGATATGAACATGTGTTTATAAGAAGAGACAATTCTCTTCCTACAAATCAATTTTATAAGGTTGAATTAGGCCCAACTCTTACTAGTATGTAAATATCAATGTTGTAAATAGTAAAGCCTTTCTTAATCATGGTTGTAAATATCAGTGACTTTTTAGTTCAGGGACCTGATAGGAGAGAAAATGATGTTTTAAGAACTAAATTGACTTGATGTATGGCATTTTCTGTTGATAGAAGCAAAAGCTAAGGAAGGCAACATATTTCTAAAAGCTAAGGCAGAGATTAAATCTGTGATTCATCATCTTGATAAATCAAAACAGCATCATCATGATAAAGAAACTCATGGAATGAATGATGATATCGATGAGAATACTCCTATAAATGAAGTTAAGGCACCAAATGTCTTTGAGAGAGTAAAGGAAGAATTTGAAGCTGTTTTACAAGCAATGCATCCTAAGAAAGAAAGTTGACTATTTTTCATTCCCAACAATGGAATTGCCTGGGAGTGTTGTGTAACTGTGATAATCAGTAAACATATGCTTATCTATTTTTGTGCTGATATATCTATATGATTGTTCTATTCTTCCAAACCCCTTTTGGATAGTGAAGCACAGCACCCTTTTGTGCATGTTAGTTTTGATTCATACAAGCATTACATTGAAATTTGAAACATTTCTCTGCATGATTGACTGGTTTTATGAGTGATGCTAGTAAAATTCACCTTAGTCATTTGAAGTTTGTAAACTTCTATTTTTAAATTCTGCACTTCTCATTGCAACTATAGTTCTATATTCTGAAGAATCAAACAGTGTATTCGATATGCATTAAAATAGTTATTAGTTAGAGATGTTTACTGTTTGTTAGTACCTATAAATAGACTTAGATTAGTCAAATGTATTTATCCTTCTCATTTGTAATATTTTGTTTAAGCATTTCTTCTCTCTCCTTTCATGGATGTCATGTTTCATAACAGCTTATTAGAGCAAAATTGATATTCACCTTGAAGAAAATTTTCTGCCGCATTTTATTGAGAAAATTGATTTTCCTGCTTCAGATTTCTATTCTATATTCGACTATTTCTGAGTTTTCCTTTTTACTTTGCTTTGATTCTCCGGTTTCGATTTTCAATTTGATCGCCTTTGATTTGTTTCGATATGATTTTGTTTGCCTTTGTATGAGATTCTTGAAATTCTGATTGTGATTCATGTTCGACTGATTTCATCTTCAATCCGTATCCATATGTCATTTGTTTCTTTTTCGTTTTCCACAATTCATAGGGCTTAACTTCGTTCATCTGGCAAAACTAACAATCTTTCTGTTCTGGCTTTGGATTCAATTTCTTGATCCAATTCTTATTATGTTCATGCCGGGATTACCAGTCAAGATGATGCTTGCTCTGCCATTCAGTTTTGTCACCGTTTAATGTGTGGAAGTGGAGGTCAACGTTCAGATATTATGACGGAAATAGGATTTTCCAAGACCGGTCTCTTATATGCATCAAAGAAGAATTGCTCTGGTATTTGATTTGAGTCAAGATTCGCTGATTGCTCTGGACATTAGTTGATTTGACGCTGGTGACTCTTTCACAAGATTCCACTTCTCCTGCACTAAGATTTGGCATATCCAGATTTTTTTACATTCTCAATAATCTGCCATTGCGTTGTTCCTACATGCATAAATTCTTTTTTTCCTCTATTACACAACTTTATGTTGAAACTTTGAGTGTTCATACAACTTGATTCTTCATGCTCACAAGTTATTTGAGTTTAGTTCTTGCTCAAACTCTTGATCTGGAAATTCAATCTGAAGACTAAATTTGATGTGAGGTTTATGCTCGAATGTTTTTTTTTTAAATTCTGTTATGAATGATGCAATGGAATGAATGATTGGGTATACATGCCAATCTATATGTTTTGGACGATTTTGTTTTGTTGGTGATTGCAATTGATTTTGGAGCATATTGAAGATGCATCGGCACCGATACATGTGGAGTTTGTATTTGCTCAACTACGGATGGAAAACTTTCTTTTTGTCCAAATTTGACCCCTAGAATTTTGGAAGTCAAGTTCATTAAAAAGGATAGTTGGGAACATGATGATTGGTTTATGTTGATCAAGTTGTGTAAGACTTAGTGTTGATTACTAAACATTATGAGAGTCTCTGCAATGCTTACAACTAGTTTGTTAGAGTAACTCATGCTGCTATTGGTTTGTTCCTATGAATGAAGATTATTGAAGATAAGTTTTTGGTTGGATTTTTTTTATGGTTGAGTTGTTTTGGTTGCTGCTATTGCATTCATATATGTTGTAGGTGGTTGTAGTTCATCTTGAAGAACAAGTGTTTTTGGGATATGCTTCACTTTGTTTTGCTGTATTTTACTTGATTAAGCTTCAATTTTTGTTTTTATCTCGAGTGTTTTGTATTCTTAATGATTAGGATTTGTGTTTTTGTTAGATTTGTTGATGTTCTTATCTTATGGTGGTTAAGATTTGTTTCTTCTATTAAGTGGCTAAGCTTTGAGCTGTGGTTAAACTTTTGTTTTTATGACTTTAATATTTGCCATGTTTTTCCAACATTTTCATTGTATCCTTTGATTTGATGTCTTTTTGTATTGCTCATTTTAGATCACACCTACCATGATGTTTTTAATTTAGTACTCGTGCCTTTGAATGTGGTAAATACATGTCTACATGCATCATATATTAGATGAAAGAGGGCCAAAATTTAGATCTTCCTATGTGTTTTGAAAGTTTGTTCGTTCACAAGAAGATTTATGAGTTTGGTCAAAGTTTCAATTTAGCTAAAAATCTTTGTAAAGTTATACAAATTGGCCTTTTTTTAAAAAATCTGCGCGCTCAGTCTATCAAAAAATTTGCTACACGGTGCATACAACCTATAAAATAATGCTTATATTATTTTTCCTTCTCAAAATTCCTAATTTCAACCCAAGTATATACTTTTAGTGGATCCTCAACCTTCACCCCATTATAGGTTGGTTTACTTATGCAGATATTGTCACAAAATTCCCTTCATTTGTCATTTCATTTAACAAAAATCGATACTGATTATGAATTCATCAAGTTTTAGTTGCTCTTATTGCGTTAATTAAGTGAATATGCCATAGAAAGAAAAGGAAGGAGTTTTTTCTTGAGTAAATAAGTGACTGGTGATTTTTGATTTGCGCATATGTTGAGCATCAAATACATTTTTGTGATGATTGTATCACATTTACATTGAGTTTGAATGAACATGATTTTCGAAGTTTATGACAAACTTATATAAAGATTTCCTGAGTTATTTATAGAGACAACCATAAAATAAACGTCTACAAGGGTGTAAGAAATAATTTATGTATGATGGCGGGATTTTGTTTTCTTATAATCAGTACAACATTGTCATGCCATTTGAGAGCCATTCAAAATAATGAACCCTAACTCAAAATAAAGATTCTGTTGAAGAAGAAACTGTGATGCTCTCCAGATGACAAACTAATTCCCTGTATGTTAGAAAGATAGTTTATTGCATTAAAAAATAATTGGTATCAGAAGTTAATTTATAGAGCCAAGGCCTGCATTATTGTTTGCCGTAAAATCATTCTTATTTATGACACCATAGTCAAATTTAAAATAAATAAAAAAACATAAATAAATCAAATTGTTGAAAGCTGTTCAAAGTAGCAGCAGAAGTACTTGTACAGACAAAGGGCAATGTCTTCGGAACAAGAAATACTAGACTTTATCAATATAGGAAAAACAACCAGCAACCTGTTTCTGAATTATTAGACCATTTATGCAAGGATAGATGCAAGTTCAACCCCGTTTGTACAATGTCTCATACTAAATTACCGTGCTGCGGAGAAGCTATAAGACTTCACTTTATCATTGCATATTTGCAACATCATTCAAGGAATGAAATTTTGAAATCTATCATGTCAAGTAAGTTTCCAAGGGATCAGAAATCAACAAAAGATCTGGAATCCTCGCACCATGGATGCAGCTATCACAAGTTTAATATTGAGCAAAACAATGCAAGGCCAACATGATATTGAATTGAAAGCTTACCAAACAACAAAGATGTTTTGATTAAAATGCAAAAGAGTGATTGAGTGACAAAGCAATTACCTGACATTTGGATTTTCCAAGAAGGAAACTCCAAAAACAACAGTAATTCAATATTCGTAAACTAAAAACAAAAAAGCAAAAAAAAATACACACCTGGTATTCTAGGGAGGCTCCACTTATTTTTGGGTGTCGGTGATTAAGATATGCTTTCTAACCTAGGAGATATGGAGGAGTTATCTTCTATAGAAGATAAAGAAATTGGCCTATTGGTCAAAATTGCTCTCACAATTGGTGCACTCCAATGACAAGCCCTGGTTGTACACTCCACAGAATGAAATAGCATGATAGGGCAGAGAATAGTCACACACTCAACCACAAAATACACCTTATGTTAGCAATGCTACCTATTCCTTCATCAATTATGTGTCAAAGAGAATCACACCACCTGTTTGAATAAGGGAAGCATAGGATGAAGGAAAACTTAGGGGTTTAGGTTATCTGCATTAGTTTCAAATCGAAAGAACATGCTTTTGAATTCTGAAAGCATAGACGCCACCAATTAATAGAATCAAAACTTCGACAAAACTAAAATAATACACCATGGGGCAACAGAGAGAACAAACACATTCACTCTTGCTTGAACTCATTAATCAAAAGAAGAATCATCTATTGAGGTTCTAGCTTGAAACTTCAAATTCCCAACTTATTGCCAAACTTGCTTTTTCTTTGAAACTTCATCTGTTTCAGAACAGCCTGCAAGACACTTCGTTTTAGCTCATAACACTTTTTTTTTGTCATAATCCTTAGTAAGAGATGGAACATCCAACTCAGGCAAGTCCAATGCAATAACTACAACAACTAGAGACCTTTTTACCAGTTTTCAGCTCATCCCTAATGATTTACAGCTGAGCCTATCACACCTACGTGTACACTGGTACACTTTATTAAGCTCAAAATCTTCACACGCTAAGTCAGTTCTAGCATAGACATGCTTGAATGCAATTTCTTCCCATTTCCTGTTGATCTAAACAACTAGATTATACTAATTCAAACCAATGTTGCACCAAAAAAGATTATACAGTAATAATTAGATGAAAATTCCTGATAAATAGCTCTGCTGAACAAATTACTTAAACAGGCAAAACCAGTATTAACAGAAAAATACACACAACATAGAAAGCTTGCCAATTCTCGTAAGGTTGATTTGGAGCCATTCTCAACAAATAGAGGCATCAATATTTAACATCTTATTTTCTTCTCTTAAAAAAGGCAATGAAAAACATAAGACTTCACGGGTTTTCAGTTACGGAGGTTTCATCATTGTTGGAATTGGGAGGCTTTTGTTGATCAATTACACGCCCGGTTAAAGCATCGACAGGACGAGTGTCGCGGGCTCCACCTTTGCGCGCCATGGCCACAGTCGGCGGTGGAGGAAGTAACCCTGCTCGAAACAGAAGCCGCTCAACGGGATTCGAAGGTTGAGCTCCTACAGAAAGCCAATACCTAAAAAAAAGAAGAAAAAGAACCTTATCAGCTACATATAAACAAAGGAATTGGCATTAAAAAAAAGAGTTAGTTAGCTAAAAAGCACAGATAAAGACACAAACACAACACTACATTGACTCATCCACACCAATAATAGTTTGAGAAAATGAATCTAATTGAATATAATTTTAGGACCCTGGCATTTGACCCGTTCAATCAGAAGTGTTAATTACTTACTTGACTCTGTCAAAGTTGATACCCATTCTTTTGCCACCATCTTGAACAGGTAAGGGATTGTAGTAACCGAGAACTTCGAGGTGTTTGCCATCTCTTGGAGATCTGCTATCGGCAGCCATCACACGATAGAATGGCTTGTTTTTGCATCCTAGACGCGATAGCCGAATCCTAACCACCATTTCCCCCCAAATTCAGTTCTACTTCTCTTAATCAATGTCTTTCAAATCCAATTGAAAGAAACCAAATGAATCTTTCTATCTGTCTCGTAGTAGCAATAGAACAATTCAATTTCAACCATGGGAGTACAAAACAGAAAATGGGAACAAACAGAATGCAATCGAGAAAGATAACAATACATACAAAGCTAAATAGAATATGAAATAAGGAAGAATAAATAAGGGGAACAAACCTATGTGGCACCGTGACGGCGTTGACGTGACGGCGGCGGAAAATGGCAAGAGAGAGACCGGAAGGGTTTATCGCACGATAGAGAGAAGAAGGGCTTAGTGTGTGAAATTTGATAAATTTTTGCCTAGAGTTGGAACATGATGACACGTGGACTTTAGTACATCAAATAATAATTTGACACCTCATATAAGTGAGAGGTAAATCATTTAAGAAAAAACTTAAATAAAATTTTATTAAAATTAATGGTAACGAAAACAATTAATCTAAAAGAAAGTATTGAAAGTAAAAAGTTTAATATGTTTTTATCGCTATGTTGATTTTGATTTCTTAACTTAAAAAATTTATAATTGTTTCTTAATTTTTTAACAATATATATATATATATATATATATATATATATATATATATATATATATATATATATATATATATATATATATATATATATATATATATATATATATATATATATATATATATATATATATATATATATATATATATATATATATATATATATATATAATAATTAATTTTTTAATTTTTTTTATCATTAATTAGACAAAAATAATTAATAATTAATATAAATTATTTTTAAAATTATTAAACTAAAATGAATTTCAAAAATAAATATTACGCCAAAATAAAATAAAAAATTAAATAAGAGTGTAAATCCTTATTTACAAATATAATTTCTCAAATATTTTTACTTAAATTTCTTTTAAGTGTAAATTTTTTACTCCAATTAAGTCTTAGAAAAAAAACCTTTAAATAAAAAACTAATTTAAATAACTTACCATAAAAAAAAATCATTTTAAAATTTTCACTCTTATTAATATTTTTTTAATATTAAAATTTAAATTTTATGAGTTAAAATTATTCTTTAATTTTATAATAATGAGTTTAAAATAACTTCAGTTATTTTTGAGAAAAATCTCATAAAAATGACTTTCTGAAATAAAATAAAATAAAAAGCAAAATATCATTTTTCTTCCTTAACTTTATCTCAGGGTTCAGTTTAGTCCATTAACTTTAAAAATAGACAAGTTGATCCTTTAACTTTTAAAATAGTGGCATGTTTGTCCTTCCATCCGTTGTCGTTAGTCAAAGCTAGTAAAATGGTGTCACGTTTGTCCAGGTGGTTTTTTTTTTGTTGACGTGGATATAACATGTAAAATAACAATCCAAATATATTGTATCCTTCATTAACCTAGACATTTATACGACTAAGCCCTAAAATTGCTGCTGCGATGACGAATTGAAGGGAGAAATCTTAGTGAAGACGTGACGGATTGGAGGCGCATAGGGTTGTTTCATCAAAGACGTGACAGATTGAAGACGCGTTTATCAAAAGGTTAGTAAATTTTAATCTGTTTTAAGGTTTACGAATGTGTTAGGGTAATATGTGGTTCTGTTCAGTTTTAGGGTTTATGTAACTATTTTAGTGTAAACTCTAATTACTTAGCTAATATGAATATGTATAATGGATGAATACATAAATCTCAGAATTCATCATAGTGGTGAATTCATTGATGAAGGACTTAATGTATATGAAGATGAATTAGTAGATAATTGAGAGTAGATGTCGATAAATGGAGTTATTTTGAACTAGTTGGTGTATTGAAAGACTTGGGTTATAGGGAGTTTGAGACAATATATTACAAGGATCCTCAATTTGGGATTAATGCACTTGTTGATGACAATGGTGCTTTAGAAATTGCAGATCTTTATAGGATGCACCAAAGTGTTGATATTTACATTCAACACATTTTGTCTCAATCTGACTATTGTGATGTTGTTGATAATGTCGATGAGGGGCCTGCTGAAATTGTAGATGAGGTGGAAGAGTTACTTAGTAAACTGCATGATGAAGTTGTTGGAGTTAAACAAGCCACCATTGGGTTGGAGGAAGGTAATGTTGGAGTTGAACAAGTTAATCCTGTAGTGGAGGAATGTAATGTTGGAGTTAAGGAAGTTAATGTTAGAGTGGAATAAGTAACTGCCAGAGTTTAACAAGTTAAAGCTGGTGTAATGAATGATGACTTAAGTTCTGATGATAGTGATGATGAAAACTACAATTATGATAGTGCTCTTGAAGTGGCTTTTGAGGATGAGTCTAATGGGTATGATGACATTGAGGAAGATGAACTTGCTAACCTAATTGGGTATGAAAGTGAGAGTAATAGAAAAGCCAAAAAACATAAAGAAAAGTTCGTAGAAGATAAAGGGAGTGATAATGACAGTGAGGGCATGCAAAGTGGATGTAATAGTGATGATAATAATGGAGTTCCAAGAAAAAAGCACCCAATTTTCAGGCAGCCAAAGGACATGTCAGATTATAAGTTAGAGGTGGGAATGTTTTTTAGTTCAAAGAGTGATTTTAAGGAAGCAATAACATCATATGCTATGCAAAATGGTAGAGACCTATGGTTTGTAAAAAATGACAGAGTTAGGGTAAGGCTTAAATGTAAAGTTGGTTGTGAGTGGTAAGCTTACTGTAGCAAGTTGTCAAATGAAGACTCTTGGCAACTTAGGAAAGTAATTGGAAAACACAATTGTAGTAGAGAGTATAATGTGAAGTTGATGAGTGCAAAGTGGTTGAGCAAGAGAATTCAAAGTAGCTTGAAAAACAATCCAAGGATGACCATAAAGGATATCAAGGAGAAGGCACAAAAAAATGGAAAGTTGGGGGGTCAATAAAACCAAAGCAATAAGAGCAAGATTTGCAGCTAGAGACTATGTTGATGGTTCTTTTTTGGGAGATTACACAAGAGTTTGTGACTAATGTCATGAACTGTTAAGAGCCAATCCAGGGTTAACAGTTAAGATCAATGTTGATCTTGTACAAGAAGGTGTTGAGGATCACAAGCCATATTTTATAAGGCTTTACATATGCGATGATGCATGTAAGGAAAACTTTAGGTTGTGCAGACATGTAATATAGCTTGATGGGTGTTTTATAAAAGGGTTGTGTGGAGGGAAAATTCTAGCTTCCATAGGGAGGGATCCTAATGACCAGATGTTTTCCATAGTATTTGCAGTTGTGGAGGGTGAAAATAAGGATAGTTGATCTTGGTTTTTAGAGCTTTTAATTGATGACCTTGGAGGTAAAGATCAATGCCCGACATACATATTCATCTCAAACCAGTAAAAGGCAAGTATTCAATTATTGTTATGCTATTTTATTTTTATGTTTTGTAAACAAAGTTTGTTATGTTATTCTCTTTCTATCTTGTAGGGTATGCTACCTACTATGGATGAGCTATTGCCAAGTGTGGAGCACAGATTTTGTGTTAGGCATCTCTATAACAATTTTAGGAAGAGGTTTCCTGGAAAGATGTTGAAGGAAATAATATTGAAGGCTTCCAATTCAACATACTCATAAGCATGGGAAAGAGATATGAAGGGACATTATAAGTGTAGTAGGTGTAAGAAACTAAGATACTACAAGTCTACTTGTAAGGACACAACAACACAGGTTGCTCAACAATCAGGTCAACCATCTCAGACTCCAACACAGGCTACTCAACAATCAGGTCAGCCATCTCAGACTCCAACACATACTACTTAACAATCAGGTTAACCATCTCAGACTCCAACACATGCTACTCAACAATCAGGTCAACCATCTCAGACTCTAACACATGCTACTTAACAATCAGGGTAACCATCTTAGACTTCTAAGGGAAAGGCTACTCAGAAGACTCATGGACTTACTAAGGGCAAGACAAAAAGCTGCTTGTTAGGAAGGCAATAAGACCTTTTGTACCACCAGGGCCTACAACTAGGTTGAGTGTAGCCAAGAATGTTGTTGGCCCAGTAACAAGAAGGACTACTCCAACTAAGAGGACCACACCAAAGAAGAACCTCTAGATATAGTTAGGCTATCCATTTATGTATTTTGTGTTTTTTGAAACTGCTGGCATGTTTAATTAGGAACTAGTTTATCAGTTTGGAACATATTATCACTTTGGTGTTGTTTGAAACCAATTTATGTATTTTGTGCTTTTTGGAACTGTTGTCATGTTATAAAACCAATTTATGTATTTTGTGGAACATATGTATCAGTATATGTATCTGTTATGGAACTAGTTTGTATAAAAAATTATGTGTTCAAAATTACGTGTCAAAATCATGTGCAGTTATTGCAAATATGTCAAAATTACATGTTATGTTTACTGGTCATGCCCAAAGTTACAGGTCATGTTTACATGTCATGCCCAATATTCAACTGATAAAAATTATGGTAGAGACAATTACAGGTCATGCCCAAAATTATGTGTCAATATTAAATTTCTCTTAACAATCCAAATATTGCAAACATATTCAACTGATACAAAGTCAATCCAAATATTGCAAACATATTCAACTGATACAATCCAAATATTCAACAGCTACAAACAAACTTTAACAAAACTTTAACATAATTGTTACAAACAAACCTTAACTTATTCTTCATAATACCCTAATTCATTTAAAAAACTAATACAATGACAATCATCAAAAACATCAAATTCAAAAGTTTTTTCTACTTCATGATATTCTTCATTTCACTTTCAAGATTCATCAGCTTTTTTCCTAATTCTTCATTCACCATTGTGACTTTTTCAATGTCCTTTTTTTCTTCAGCAAGTTCCTTTGTAACCACACCCAGCCTATGCATCCAAAGTTGCTCCTTCTCATCATCCACATCCTCATAAAACCAACCAAAGTAACTACACCCAGCTTGTATAGCTCCCTAAATTTTTCATTGTTTGGAGTTTAAATATAC